GCCGCAGTGGCAGGTGTTTTGGCCTTACTGAGATCGGGCGACCGGATGCTCGTCCTGGGGTTGCGGGACGCTGGACTGCAAATGAGAAGAACAACTTTCTTTTGTAGAAATATCAGGGGGTTATCATATGGCATTGTATGTGACAAAGTGAATTCAAGAATTCCGTTTGTTATTGTCACTCTACCACACGGGTGGTTCCTGTAGTTCGCCGGTAAGTGGAAAGGCGTTTGAAGAGTGCACGCGCTATGGCATACGAAGTATAGCAAAGAGCAAAGACTGTACTCAATTGTAAACACAAGCCAAGAACTTATCAGGGCATCGGGCATCAGTATTCTCCGTTCAGATTGTCAACAGAGGATGCTCTACCAGAGGGTTCATGTGACCCAGTGATGAATGCACCTTGCGTCCTAAATGCAACAGTGAGTCTACTGCGTGGTTTCCCAATATCAGTATGGGCGATCATCGCGTAAACATCAAGCGGTGCATGAAGGCGGTTTACAAATATTCTAAAGGCCACCATATACTATAATGTATTAGGATTTACTAGAATATACCCTACCTAAACTAAAAACCCAACCCTAGTCCAAATTCCATTCTTTTGCAAGCCCCTCCGTGTCTTTTTGGGGGAAAGCTTGTTAAAACCTATGTTTGACGGTTGTTTCTAGAGAACTGATAGCATGGAAACCCCCAGAGTGCCTCCACAACCCTTGCTTAATGAGCTGCCTTCTAGGCAGCTGACTCTGCGATGACCCCGCCCTATAGCATGCGGTAATCCCGAAACCCTAATTATCCCTAATTGATTGAGGATGACTACAGTGACTACAGTGTCCATCGCTCAGGAGAAAAACCGACTGCGCTTCTTTGAGCAGACGCTTGGGAAGCGATCCTGTCAGCTCCAGGACATTTTGAGGGATTTTTTTTGTAGCATACTGCAGTGCTTCCCAAAATATGTATACGTATGACATACACACATACATGCATCATACAGATATATATATATATATATGCCCATATATATATGAGATATATGTATATATATTCATATTTATGCAAACATATTTATATTTGTATACATATTACCCCCCCCCACCCATGGGCCTACCTATTTTCCGTTTTTGTTGATGTGTGTGCATATCCCCCCCCACTCTTTCAGTGTCTTGGTACAGTAGCCTGATATCGTACAGCCTCGTCTATAAACACAGCTGCTGTTTATAAAAAAACACAGCCCCTGTTTACAAACACAGTCACAGCAAACATCGGAAAAACCTTACCACCCGTAAACGCCCATAAGGCTAGGAAGTATTTGAGGGCATAGGGTGCTGCGAAGAAATCTATTCGAATGAATCTATTGCAAGTAGGCCCCGGGGAAGCGAGGATACTGTGAGCAACTGTCCTTTCACCATGTTCCGGGTTATGGGCCTTCCAAAAGCCCGACTTACTTGCAAGTATGTGGGTGTTCATCTCATGACTCCCAAAGGACACCCAAAAAGAAAATGTCACTTCTCAAAGATGAGACTCATTACAAACTAGACCCAAGACTTACAAATAAACACCTCATAAACCCTACTCGTTTATTCAGATTTGTTCAACACCTTATTCGACTAAGAAGTAGGGTCAGACCCTCTTCCAAGATTTATGCATTTCAACAGCTTCGGGTTTAAGATTTATGTAGGCATTTGGACCTAAGCCGCCAATTCAATCGAAACGTTTGAACTTTAAACCCTATAGGGCGTCAGGCTTAAAAGCTTAGGGTTTAAGATTTAGGCATCTAAACCTAAACTGCCAGTTAAACCTGAACTGATCCCTTAACCGTGAAACCCTATAGGGTTAAAGCTTAAAAGGTTTAGGCCTTAAGATTTATGCATTTACGCCTAAGCCCATAGAGTGTAAATCTTAATATGAGGGGCCTAAACGATAAACCTTTAAGCCCTATAGGCTATAGGGTTAAGGTTTACAGGCTTAGGTTTTAAAAGTAAGCCCATCGAGTCTAAACCTTAAGGGGCCGAAACGCTTAACCTTTAAACCCTGTAGGCTATAGGGTTAAGGTTTGAAGGTTTAGGTTTTGAGAGTAAGCCAAAAGTAAGCCCATAGAGTTTAGACCAAAAGGGGTCGAAACGCTCAACCTTTAAACCCTATAGGCTATAGGGTTAAGGTTTAAAGGTTTAGGGTTAAAGATTTAGGCATCTAAACCCGTTTAGGCATTTGAACCTCAAAGCCTTATGGTCAGAAAGAACCCTAAAACCCTATGGGGCCCAAAAAGGTTCAATCAAGGTTCAATCGTTTCAACTTTATAGGCGCTGAAGGTATAAATGCCCAGACCTTAGGTTTACACGCATAGAGTTTAAGTTCTTAAGCCTCAGGTTTAGGCATTTTAACCTTTAAGCCCTCAGGGCTTTAGAGATAAACCCTGAAAAGCCCTAAGCCTGTAGACCCTATAGGGCTTAAAGGCTCAAAAAGCCTAATGTCTCGGCCCCTTAAGGTTTGAACTCCATGGGCTTGG